TTCTAAGACACACCGGCAACAAAAATAAATTGTTCAGTGTACCTCCGTTCTACAAATATGAACAAATCTCGTTCGCCTAACAATGCTCTCATTCTGTACTTTCAATGATCATGACTAACTATAGTATCTTCAATTTGGTACTTTTCTTCATCAATTCTTTCCTGAACCCTCTTGGGACAACTTCTTCCTTCAAATATCAGTAGAAACTTTATTGACTTTTCCTAGAAGCCAGAAGCTGGGGGAAGGCCCATCTTATGGTTGAGGCAGAAATAATGTTTCTTTTTGAGATTTTCATGATGACTATACGACCATTCTATCCGACAATTTATTATTGAATATAATAACACACTAGAGTTCATATAAAACATGTTAGGGTACCTAAAGTCCGCCATACGGAAGATAAAGGACGACGGCTGAAGGTGGAGAGGAAGCCAATATAGAAATAATTAAAAACCATAGATCTATGGAATCAAGGATTTGCTTCAAACAGAATACCACCAATAGGATTTAGAATACCTACACAAATGTTTGAAATCTGATGTTTGTTTATATGTATATTACCTAAGCCAAATTTTAATTTGAATGTTAAACAAGAAACTTTTCCAGTATAATAAACGGAGTTAGTTCTATGGGGCAAGCAATTAAACTTCCCCCCTATCTTTCTGTTAATCTAAATAATGTTTTAACTAGTTGGTCTGAATTAATGGAAGGCGTCAAATTAAAGGTATCGAAGGTATTGAAGTATCCTTGACTTTTAATTAAAAACTTTCTGTCTATTTTTGCCAAAAAAAAGCAATTTTGCGAATATGCGTCATAATCCGCTTTGACTTTTGGCAAGGAAAAACAAGACTAAATATTATTTTGCTTTTGTGCAACCGTCAGTTTTATGTAAAAGTTTCTACCTATGTATTTTTATTTTCTCGGATGCAAACATATCACATAAAATAAGTTGAACTTTTGTATAAAGTTTACAAAAGCTTTCCTGTGAGGTTTACCAAATATGTACAAGAAAAGAAGCGAACAATGCTTATCTCAAAATTAAATATAAAGGATTTATCATGAATAAAAATGTTTGTAGCACTAATTGACAGAAAAATCCAAGATGCTGGACAATAGCTTTCAAGTAGGTAATAAAGACATTGGATTTTGATGCAATTGTAGCTGTAAATGGATCTATGTATCACTTTCAAGATAAATTTTAAGCACTTTTTAACAGAATAAGAGATCGTTTATAATCATACCTAGCCATATATTCAGGCAGCTGTTAGCTTAGGATGTTACTAAAGTATTTTGGTTGAAAGATAGTTAATCCAGACAAAATATTTATAATAGAATTAAAAAGATAGGAAGTAAGTATACTTTCAAATCTGAAAACTCAACTCAGTACCTGACTATAAACATTCCCAAAGAAGACACAGAATATATATATCATAGTCGAGTTTTGAAAAACGCGGCGGCTACGTTAGGTATTGATTACCCTTGGTTTATCAAATATTCAATAGACCCATGATTCAAGCCTATAAAGCAAATCAAACAGTTTTTCGTTTGATTTGGCTGAAATTTCAGATTTTAACATGGTACTGAATAATATTAAAACAAACGCCACAGGAATAGATTAAGTTTCACCCTTAATGTTAAAGTACTGCAGTCCATTTATTGATAAATATGTTACACACATTATTAACTATTGCATTGAAATAAATTATTTCCCCGTATAATCAAATTTATAAATTTGCTGCTTCAAATAAAATAATTCCGGATACCTACTCAGTGTGGCTTTAGAGCGGACTTTAGTACACCTGTGGCGTTGGTTAACGTGGTTGATGTCATCATGCGTGCTTCTGACAAAAAATGAATAGTGTACTGATATTATTAGACTTTTCGAAGGCGTTTGATACCATCATCCATGAGCTTTTGGTCTCCAAATTAAAGTTCTATGGTTTCCAACAGGAATCTTGTCAGCTGATGACATATCTTGCGGATCGCCATTAATCAATCTTTTCTGAGAATAGGTACTCTGGTGATCTCAATATAATGTCCGGTGTTCCGCAGGGTTCAGTATTGGGGCCGTTACTTTTTCTTATCTATACGTTTGAGATTTTAAGGTCGCTAAATTACTGCAAGGTCCAGGCTTATGCGGATGACACACAGGTCTATTGCTGTTTTGATTTTGAGGGGTATTTAGATTCTGAAACATTTATTAATCAGGATTTAAAAGCTTTAACTGAACTCTCAAATGAATATAATTTATTGTTAAACCCATCCAAATCTTATCTAATATTGTTTGGTGATGAAAATTAGATTGATTTCCTGAAAGATAATATTAATATCAAACTAAACGATGTGACAGTACCAGTTGTTAATTCTACTGGTTGATTCTGAATAGTGAATAACGATTTAAAAAACATTTGAAAAAAATATTTCATATACAACTTAAAATTTTTTATACAATAACAGACATAGGTATATTAAATCTTACACTTAGAAAATTGCTTTATGAATCTCTTATACTTTCCAACTTTAATTACTGTGATATGGTATATGGTCCTTGCCTGGATTTTGAGAGTAAATCTCGTATACAGGGGGTGCAGAACGCCTGTACGCGTTTCATCTTTGGGCTTACTTAGAAAATTTGATCATCTCTCATACGGTTGCTGAATTAAACTGGCTTCGGATGGATTCTCGTAGGTTTCTGCACTTTTGTACATTCATGATAAATTTTTTGAACAATCCTGAAGAACCTTGCTCAATTCGTGAGCGCTTGATCCCTCGTGCAAGTGTGCACTCCATTGACATACGTCATTGTGAGCGATTGATTATACCGCACCATCGGACTGCCCTGTTTCAGATGTCATTTACGTATAACGCAGTAAAAAATGCTGTGGTGAAAATTTATAATTCCTTACCTCCGGGTTTGACTCATTTAAAGGTCCAGGCATTAAAAGTAAGATATAGAAGGTATACACCTACTTAATACTTCTAACTAGTTATTTGTTTTATTTGCTTATATTATGAAATATAACTTGTGTGGGTATAATGTAGAAAAAAAGTGTCAGGCTTCTCAACAATAGTTTACAACGACAAAATTTGTTAGTTACTTCGCATAAAATTATTATTATAAATTGTACTTCTTGCTTTCGCATGGTTCAGTGGAGTAGCTATAAGCTAGACTGCGCCATTCGTTAGCATGCTTGATTTATCATCATTCTTAATGTTCTTGTAAAATGTAAAGTCTGTTTTTTTTTTAAGATAAAAATCAAAATGACATTATGTTGGTAATACAATGTAAAATTGTCAATGCTTTCAAATTTATGTAGAAAAGGCTTGTGTTGCCAACATAGTTACTGAATTTTTGACTTGGGGAATTATCTTTAAAAAAAAACAGACTTTATTTTTCTTTTTTTTTGTAATATAAAGGCGATTATTTCATTCATTATAAAATAGACCCATCAGACAACGTCATTTTTTGAATGAATTTTGTTTAAATATGTGATTATTGCACAAGAGCTTGTTTATTCGCGAGACATTTTTGTTTACCCTTTTTGACAGAATTTTGATAGAATATTCTGACATTTTATAATAAATAGAACTCTTTGGAAAGGATTGATGCCAACAATTCACTTATTACTTATCGCTTTTATAAAACTGTACACAACAAACCTTGCATTTGAACTGACTTGTACAACCACACTCTCATTTAAAAACTAACCTCAAACTGCCTAACTAGGTACGCGCTATTTGAAGACGACATTGTTTTTGGGAATTCTCTAGAACTTGTTTTGCTCGAATATAAAAGAATTCCAGGAATAGGCCCGCTCTAGACGTAAACCCATGGATTCATGGAATCTATACCTTTTCAACTTCAAATTCGGATCAATCAATTTCAATTTGGAACGTAGCAATTTCAAATTGGGATTAATCAACTTTTAATTGGTAACTGACACGTTAAAATGGGAATAAACAAAGTCAAATTGGAAATAAACAATTTAAATTTGGTACTAATCAACTTCAAATTGGAATTGTTGAATAAATTCCAAAGTTTTGCAAGTCGAATGGCAGTTACTTTTAAACCGTATTTAAAATTAACAAAATGCCTTACATTAAAGTACCTGATGCAGAAAATGCTAAAAAGCAAAAAGCTGTTTTTAAAAACAAAGGCGACTGAAGAGGATTGGCTAACACACTGGGTATAAAAAAATCTACAGCTTATCGATGGGTAGGTACTCAAGAAGTTGTTAGAAGCAAACGTGGGGGACAAAGAAAAGCAAACATAAGGTATAAATGACTGGATACATAGAGGAAAATGCTGGTATACGCTGAAATAAAAGAAATTTTTGAACAAAATCTCATTTTGATGAAATGTTTTCATTCGGGCTCAATGGCTGTCGTAAGTTGGAATCTCTTTCTGACGTCTGGTAGCAGACTGCTACCAGAATCGGACCTCTGAAGATGCTAGCCACGCGTGCTAGCGAAACGTCATAATTCAGGAAGAAATTCCAAGTTAGGACGGCCATTAAGCCCGAATGAAAACATTTCATCGATTAACCCGGACCGCGAAAGCCTCACAAACTTTATCAAAATCTCATTTCATTACTGTTCAAAGTCCCTTTTTCATTAATGTATATTGATTTTCTTCACTAGCAATCTTTCATTTATATTAATACCCAATTCCCAATTTGAATTTGCTTCTTCCCAAATCAAAATTGATTAGTCGCAATTTGAAGTTGATTAGTACCAAATTAAAAATGATTAGTTCCAATTTGATTTTGTTAATTCCCATTTTGATATTGTTAGTTCCCAATTTAAAGTTGCTTAGTCCCAATTTGAAGTTGAAAAGGTATAGCCAGCCTCTAGGGTCTTAATGCAATTTCCTTACAATATTTTAATAAAATTTCAAGAATTCGAAGGATGTTTTCTAATATGCTAACAATTTGGGATAAAATCTCCTTGTAATTATCTACTAAATACAGGATCATATAATTTTTGAATTTTTGTTTTAGGTTGGAACAAAGGCGACTAACCTTGTCAAGGTAAGAGTTATATTTTTATTGTTGTTTTTATGTCCAAAGAAGGACAATTTCAGTCAAAGGCGTATTCAAAAGGGTGAATAGTTCAACTTGATATTGTCACAAAATGTGGCGCTTCCGCCATGGTTTACAGAATTGGACAGTTCATTCTAGATTTTACAGTAATATTCGGGAAAGGGGGCTATCGCGTTTATTCTGGATTTTACAAGAATAGATTTTTTTTTCATAAACACCGTTGATGGCATTTACTTACATTACAATCTGATCAAGTCTGATCAATGAGTAATTTTTTTCTAACCTAATTTACCACTGCTACAAAATCTATATCCAAGGACTTACTCGCTAGATGTCCTGTTTTTTGTTCGATAGCTATTTACACTAATATTAATGTGTAACACACAAGCACACTACATAAGGGCAGTCAAGATCTTTACTACCCTCGAAGAGATAACTTTACTTGGACCGTTTATTTGTGGTAGCAAAGTGACTTTATAAAGAATTTACTTACAGTGTCTATAAAGTAACTTTGCTGGCATAGAAAAGCTACTTTGCTGTCGTAGGAAAGTAGCTATGCTGTCTTAGAAAAGAGGTACCCTCAAAAACATTCTTTTTTGTGATTGAAAAGTAGATTGCTAAGGCAGAAAAGATATTTGTTGTTGTTATAAGAAATGCTTTCTGAAACAGTAAAGCGTTTTTTTTTGCTTTTGCACTGACACTAATCACACTAGATCCACTTGATCCTCTTGAGGCTTCTAATCTGGCTCGTATTGTCGAGGAGCTGGATGTCTTCGACGTTGTCGTGGTGAAGAAGTCGATGTTCATGACTTCTGGCGAACTTGCTGATAGTCCACTTCCATATCCCTATGAAGGTCACTGTTTCTGCAATACCAGGGAACATTGACAATGCTTCTTAGTACTTTGTTTTGGAATCGCTGAATTATGTTTAGATTGCTTTTGCTGGCACAGCCCCACAGCTGGATGCCATATTATGTCCACACGGGTTTGAGAATTTGGTTGTACAGAAAGAAGTAGGTACTTTGTTATATATTGACAGGGTGGAATTTCGTCTAAGCAGCCAGTACATTTTTCTAAATTTGATGTCTAGTTCTTCTCTTTTCTTTTTGACATGGGCTTTCCAGCGTAGAGTATTATACCTAAGTATTTTGCTGTCAGCATAAGGTACTTGGATATTGTTTATTCTGATAGGAATATGTTGATCTCTTTTGTTCGTAAAATTGACGTGGGCAGATTTAGCTTCATTTAATTTAATTCGCCATTGCTTTGTCCAGTTGTTGATTTTGTTAACCGTTTGCAGATTTCTTGCCGCTTCTTAATGATTATTGCCTACAGCCATTATAGCAGTATAGTCAGCAAAGGTGGCTATCGAATCATGCTCTAGTTCAGGAATATCGCTCGTGTATATTAGGTAAAGGACTGGTCCCAATCTCAGACTAATAATAAAACTAGAGACCAAACATGCCATTTAGAAATCGCCCAATGTTTACAATCAATCATCTTTTAGTCCCTGACATGAGTAGGAGAGAGATAAACCTATAAAATGGCAACACTGTTCAGTGGCGGAGTGTTCAGTTTCCTCTCAATTTTGCCATTCACAATAAATTACCATAAATATCCTGTATCTACGCCAATGTCAAGCGTAAAATGATGTCAAATTTCTTACCGCCGAAATATTAAAATGTGCTTGGAATCAATAAAGATAATACATCGATTTACCATTTTAACGTTCTCCACCACACTTTCCACATATTTAAATCCAAAAATACCACTGATTAACACTCAAATCACAAAATTTATCTCTATCACTTCACAGCAACAGTGCGAAATCCATTATGGCTGCCATAAGTCACCTAAAATCATCTGATTGGCTGCTCGTAGATGCAACGTTGCCGATGTGCTGTTTTTCGAGCCATATATTCCTGGTTCTTCCCGAATTTTCACCAATTTAAATTATAAAAAGACTAATTATTTTTTTCAAAAAGGCGTTCAAGTTATGTTTCAACAAAGATTGATATAAAAAAAACATTTATATTATGTTAAAACATATTTTGAAATAATGATTATCCGTGAAAACATTTAATATTGAAAATCACATCGGATTATTGGCAACCAGGCTTTTCATGCAAAAATCGACCTTATGGATGTTGGATCGCGAATTGTTTGTTTACTGTTGTATCTGTCGTTTTTAGTTGTTAATCTGAGGTCCCAATACACTGCCTTGTGGTACTCCAGCTTCAATTTCTTTGAGTTCCGAGTAAGCGTTGTCCTGCCTAATCCTGAAAGCTCGTTCAGAAATATACGATTTTAATAATTGTGAGAACTACTGAGGCAGGAGCAGGAGCTTGTTTAATTTATAACTAAGCCCCTCATGCCACACTTTATCAAAAACCTGTGCCATGTCAAGGAAGACAGTAGAGCAAACTTTTTTTTCCTCCAATGATTTTTCAATTAAATCTGTGATCCGGTGGACTTGATCTATAGTTGAGTGTTTTTCTCTGAAGCCAAACGGATGGTCTGGAATTAGGTTTTTTCTTCAATAATTGGTTTCAATTTTCTTAGAAGTATTTTTTCAAACAGTTTTGAGATTACAGGCAGAAGTGAGATTGGCCTGTAAGACGAAACTACATTTAACGGTTTTCCAGGTTTAGGAACCATGATCATTTCCGCTACTTTCCATAGCTTAGGTACATATTTCATTCTAAAAGACGCATTGATGAGGTAGGTCAGTTTAACAACTACTTTACAAGGAAGTTGTTTTAAAATGTCTGCCATAATTAGGTCAAACCCTGGAGTTTTTTTCGAATTAATGTTTTCTTTAATTTCTTTTGTTATTTCTTTTAGAGTAGCTGGTCTAATAGTACCTTCTTCTTGAATAAGATTTTCCCTGTCGAGAATGTCTTCACCCTCATTCGGCTGGCAAGTCTCTTCAAGATGTTCTGCGAATCTGTTAGCTTTTTGAATATTACTTTTTGCCAATGTACCATCTGCATTTTTAATTGGTGAATTTTGGAGGATTGGTCTTTTTAGCTTTCCAAAGTGGATAGTCACTTTTATTATCATTTGACAATCCACTTAGGTATTCACCAATAGATTTTTCTTTAATTTTTTGAATCTCTCTCTTGAGCTGTCGTGTGGCATTATTTAATATAGTTTTATCACCTGGTGATCTGGTTTGGTGTCATATTCTTCCAAGTCTTCTTTTTTCACGAATAAGGATTTCTCTGGGGTAGTTGTTACCTTTGGTTCTGTGGATAATGTCTGGAATATTGTCCCATGCAGCTTGTTGGATCATCTTAACAAATGATTCTGTTTCATTATCTAGTTGTTCTTGATTTCTTACTGCAAATTGATAATTTTATGAAGTTGTAATCCAAAGATTTTCCAGTCTGTGAGTTTATTTACTAATCTAGGAGCTATTTCCTTTTGCATAATACTGTCACTAAGCGTGAGTGGAATGGGAGAATGGTCAGAATTCATGTCCCAAGCTTCTTCCACGTGTATATAGCTTACTGATACATTTCTGATTATGAAGAAGTCAAGCAAATCTGGGATTTTGTTGGAGTCTGTAGGCCAGTATGTTGGCTGACCAGTTGATACTTACTGTTCCACATTTTAGTTAACTAACTGCCTGCAGCAGTTCCTTTTCCTTCGTATTTGTTAACCTAGATACCCAATGAACATGCTTGGCATTGAAATCACCACCTAATGTGAACCTATATCCGTGTCTGTTAAGAAAGTCCAAATATTGTTCTTTTTTGAGGGCATGTGTTGGCGAACAATATATGACCTCATATGTTCTGGTTTTTACCGAAGCAGCTTGAAACTGTTCCGATTTATATCCGATTTCTTGATAATGTTTGATTCCTTAATTACAACTGCACTTCCACCTTTGGCTGCATTTTCGAGATGTATAGTGTGATATAATTTATATTCCTTAAATTTAATGAATGATTCAGTAGTAGAATGTGTCTCAGAAATTAGGCATACATCAATGTTCTCAATATCCAGGACTGCTTGCAGTTCTTGTTGGTGCTGGAAGAGTCCGTTGCCATTCCATTCCATAATCCTAAGATTACTCGACATTACGATTTTTGGGAATAGCTCCTTTAGCGCTATATTCAAGTCTACTAATACGTTCATCCATTTTTGGTTAATTTCTCCATAATTTGTTGGATAGAATTTTGAATAGAAACATTTTGGTCTTGCCTTTGAGTTTGATTTTTATTGATAATCAATTCAGACTTACCAATAACTGCTTGACTGTAGGATTTTTGCCCTACTCTTATGTTGTCTATCGGCCGAGCTGGCAGCACTTTTTGGCTGTCCCTCTGTGGTTGCTTTCGAGGAGTTGATTTCTTATCCTTTAGTTTTTGCATTTCCTTTGCAACTATGCATCCTCTGTAGCTGGCTGTATGTCCCTCTGCACAATGAATACACTTCGGTTTATCATTCTTTGGCTTATCACACTAAACTGTTAGGTGCTTACCAGTACATCTAACACATCGTGGTTTCATGGCACAATATTTTTGCGTATGTCCTTATGCTTCGCATTTTTCACACTGTGGCACAAGCCTGGATTTTCTCAGTGGTAGAATTTCAACCCTGAATCCTAATATATCAGTAATTCCGTAAATTTTCTCAACACTCTCGTCAAATCTGAAGCATAGCATGAACATGTTTAAAGGTTTTTTTGTTTTATATTTTAGTTTAGCCGTGGCATCAAGAAGTTTGTAGCCGCGATTCCTCATTTCTTGAATTATTCTTTCTGGTTCCATGTTTGTTGGCTAATGTAGCTCAGATGGTTCCATCAAAAATCAAAAATATAGTTCCAATTTCCACACATCCAAATCGTGCATAAGCAAAAGCATGTCACATTTGCGAGAAACATTTTACGAGGAAGGACTTTGATGATGATAAAATTGTAAATGACCATGATCATTTTACAGGTGAATTCAGGGGATTTGTCTGTAGAATTTGCAATTTAC